TCCAAAAATGCATGCCGCAAAATACGAGAGCTCAGCGCCTGCGAGACTGATGGTAGGCCACCCTGCAGTACACGCATACACTGCAGGGCAGATGTTGCCTACCTACCAGGCGCTCTGAGAGATTCCTCAGGCTGAGCTTGGCAATTTCTTAGCGGCAAATGACGTCCACCCCGAAGGCACCATGGCCCCAGTGAGAGGCAAACCCTCCCGCACCAGCACCAGCGCGTGCTCCAATCTGCCGCTACGGTGGGACGACCTCCAGGGAGCTCAAGGAGGAGCGTGTCCCCGGTCCAGCGACCCCCTGCAGTGACGTCACCGCGGGTCGAACAAGCAGACATTGACCTTAGGCAGGGTCCTGGCGTAGTCGGGGATGTGCAGGCCGCCGACCTCCACCACGCCGGGCACCTCGGCGAGGGGCAGGTTGACGCTGAAGTGGGCGTTGACGAGCAGCAGGGAGGCGTTCCTGGCGAGCTGTCGGAGCGGGGGGAGTCCCGGTCCGAAGTTGCGGTCGGCGACGCGCTGGGCCAGCCGGTCCCAGTGCAGGGCCTTGACGACGTTGACCAGCGCCGTGTACGCGGCGTTGAGCACGCGCTCCCACAGCGTCATCGCGTCCGTGAACCAGAGGAAGAGGTTGGGCTGCAGCGCCGGGTTCAGGGGGTTGCCGACGCGCGCGCCCGCCCACGGCATCAGCACGCTCGAGCTCAGCGACACGAGCGGCGCGCCGAAGCGGTGCGCGAACCCCAGGAAGCAGTCCGTGTTGAAGGCCTCGTCGAGCACCAGGTCGAACGTCTCGTTGGAGGCGAGCAGCGCGCGCACGGCCGGCAGCGTCAGGATGGGCTCGCACGAGTCGTGCCCGATGCGCGCGATGGTCATGTAGTCCGTGAACGGGTTGAGCGACTGCAGCACGCCCAGAGGCAGCACCGAGTCCAGGACGGGCATGGTGCCGCGCAGGTCCAGCTCGCGGGTGTAGCCCCCCGAAGGGAAGTGGCTGAGGACGGTGAGGTCGTGGCCGCGGCGCTGGAGCTCCAGCAGCAGCGGCTCGAACACGAGGTGGTGGCTGCGGCCCGCGTGCGGCAGCACGGCCAGGATGCGCGCGCCCGCCGCCGCGCCGGCCGCCGCCGCCACCACCAGCAGTAACAGGGCCGTCGACGGCGACATGCTTGACCTCCACCCGGCGGAGCGCCGCGCCCAACTGCGCCCTCGGCACGGCGCCGCGGCCGCACCGGCCGGCATGCGGCCCGGGGCTGGCTGGCGACCAGACGACCCCTTCACCCTCCCCTTCCCCAATCCCATCTCGTCCCTCTAAAACCCCCTTCTCCTCCCCAAAGTCCCCCTCCCTGTCAGGCCGCC